GTCGGGATTCCTTTCCGGCTGCTGCGGTCTCAGTTTACTGAGATTTGGGTGACGGGAGGACGCTGGTTTGTGTCCTCCCGTGACCCTGGGGAGAACTATGGGGAAAAGCACTTACCACATAGTTCTCCTTTTAACCCTTGCAATGGGGCTAACCCCCGCACTGCAAGGGTTAAGTGCTCATTCTTGTCTAGCAAATAACAAAGATGTACTCCCCCGGAACGCCGACCTAGCTGGCTGCTACACTGGTCCCTGCAACCTCTCTCCCCCTTCGCTCTTGTGCTCTAAGAATCTGTACGCTGTATAGGACGTGAGGATGCCAAGGGATATTCTATCGCCGGAGAGGAGGGGAAGCGGAAGATGCCACGACTGGTCTAGCAGCCATGGTTCGGGTGACTATATATTTGCTGTTTGTGACCCTAGACTAAAACGAACACTTCACCCACAGGAAGGGCTAGGATTTCTTCTGCCCAGCGTTCTTCTTTAAGGAGATGTGGTAACCTCTAAATTTGGAGGTATTTTTTTAGAAGGTCATGGAAAGCTCCCCCTGCCTCCTTCAAACGTAATCCCGCTACCACTTGAGTATAGACATGTGCACCAGCAAAACATTTGTTTAGTTTCGCTTTGATTCGGATTTTGCGTTATTTTTCGTTTTTCAGAATTCGGTTTCAAAAGTCAATTTGTTTGGGAATTTGGATTCGGACGAAATTCGTTAGCAGTAATCTGTATGAAATTTCGTTTGTTTTGTTTGTTCGTTGCTGCATAGTGACATGTAAGGGCGGAAAAAAGATGTTTTTTTCTCATGTCACTTTGCTGTAACGAAATTTCGTCCAACAAACGAAATTTCGTACAGACTACCGCTAACTAATTTCGGAATCGGAAATTCAGATTAGTTTGCATTCGTTATATCTGTGATTTCGGATACGTCCGAATTTCGATTCGGAATGAAACTAATCGCACATGTCTACTTGAGTATATAGATCTGGTCAGTCATCGGTCATGGAGTGTCTGGTCAAGAAGTAAACGCTTTCATATTTGGGATGGGTCAATTGAAATGTAAAAATAAAAGTTAAAATAAGACTTTCAGAAAAACAAATCCTTGACTTTCTATTCGTAGACAAAGATGAATATTTGTGGTGTCCTGCTACAGCTTTTGCTAACCCAAATTTGCAGTCTTTTATGGCAGCATTCTATCAATCTGGAAACTACAAATTACTGCTTACCTCTGTCCCCCTCCTCTTTGGCGTGAGGACACCAAGGAACATACGACTGTTTAATACAAGTGAATGGACTGCAATACAATTAAAGTGACATTAAACCCTCAGATTTTTTAACATAAACCAATACTGTAATGTGTGCCTTACTGTAATCCATGGTTGTTTGCCTTCTCTTTGCTGCTCTTCCTTTTAAATCTGTATCTCTTTACATGCTGGGGGAGAACTTCCCTTTGCAGCTGAGTGCCCCTTCCTGTAGTGCTGGCTCAGGTTGTGAACCTGCACACAGACACCATGTATCCATTTCAGAGACAAGGCAGTCTGCTGCAAAACAGAAGTTCTGCCCAGCATGAGAACAGATACAGATTTAAAAGGAAGAGCAGCAAAGAGAAGGGAAACCACCATGGATTATAGTAAGGCGCACATTACAGTATTTTATGTTAAAAAATCTGAGGGTTTAATGTCACTTTAATGACATCAGCGGGGTTTAAGCTGGCCGTACACTCGTACACTGTTTTATTTTTTTCGTTCAACCTGCGGGCTGAACAAAAAAAAAATAGAACCGATGCCTCCGTTAAAGCTAATGAACGCTGAACGAGGAATCTCCCGCTGTCTTCTCCCGCTGTCAGAATACCCTAACAGAGCCAGCAGCTCATTGGCTACTTGCTCTGTTTGTTTGAAAATTTTCTCACCAGTCTCTTCAATCAGCTGTTCAAGGGCATGCCGGCTAAAAGGGTGCCCACAGCGGCACCCACTGCACGAAATTTGCATAGTGTGTGTCCACCTTTTTAGATGCTGGAGCCTGGGGAAAGGGGGGGGGATAAGAGTCTGCAAGGACAAGTTAAGCAGCCAGGGAGGATCATGTAAGAATGTATTCCCTACCTGAGCCCCTAGATCAAGAATGGGCAACTCTGAACCTCCAGCTGTTGTGGAATTACAAGTCCCATGAGGCATTGCAATACTGACCGTTACATGAGGCATGTTGGGATTTGTAGGGGGTTGCCCACCCCTGTACTAAAGAAAAATTAGGATAGCCCCACTGCAAGAGTTAACTTTTCTACAGCCCGGAGTTCTTCTATAAAGCATTAAGTTATAGATTTTTCCGCTGTTGGTTTGACGTTGCGTCACTTGGCGGTTTCAGTACGTTCCACGATTGCCGCAAGAATTTCACAGTTAAGTCATCCTTGAAGGACAGGAGTCAAGTACGTGCTGGTGCGTCAACAGAGGTGAATGACAGCACATCCCATTACTAAAGAGACACCATCGGTCATCCTGCCATTATGTTTCATATTTCTCTGATGGCTCTATGCCTGAGAAGGGGCCGCGGGCCCTTGCTGTGCTGATTGTGAAATAAAACTAAAGAGACGGCGTAGATAATGACAGGCCAACCATTGATTGTCTCTACCTGTAAAAATGGTTTATCTGGCGCAGTACGTCCATGTGTCATAGGGCGCTTTTACTCTTCACAGTGCAGAAATGAAGGAGATTGCTGTAGCTACAGCATCACATACACAGCCACTGCAGTCATTGTGATGCACACGGTGCCCTCTGCTGTCCAAAGTGATGAATGACCAAGACCTGGTTTTAGTCCTGGGAGAGGAATGTTTTTTAAAGGGAAATGTTACGTTTTTGTCAATTTTTTTTTTTTTATAGCATGTGAAAACCTTTTTTAGTGATTTGGGTTTACATATACTTTAAAGCGGAAATACAAGTCATGTGTGTTCTTCCTTGAATCTTGGTGAGCTCTGTGTATTTCTCCCAGGTCTGTGCAGTACTCCAGTGTGACACTTGGAGCTTCCTGTAATAAAGACCGGTCACTGCTGCTCTCTCTCCTTGTGCAAGGTGACTGGTCTTGTCTCCGCCCCCTCCTGTAATAAAGACCGGTCACTGCTGCTCTCTCTCCTTGTGCAAGGTGTCTGGTCTTGTCTCAGCCCCCTCCTGTAATAAAGACCGCTCATGTCTCAGCCCCCTCCTGTAATAAAGATCGCTCACTGCTGCACCTTGCAATCTTTGTACAAAATTTAAATGTACTAAATTTATGTAATAGTCTTGTGAGGTCACAGGTCATCTTCACCCTAATATCCCTTCAGCATGGACGTAGAGCAGCAGCGTATAATGATGTTTTGCCCGTTTTCTGCAGCCTTCTTCTGTGAGTCCAGGAAATGGGGCGGAGCCTTGATACCCTGGAATTGGTTTGAATGACGCTGGGTGTCACTAAACCTGGAAGGGAAGCTGGGCAGGATTTTGGGAGTCTGTAGAAAATGGATGGTGGAGGGTAGAGCACCTGCAGCTGCTTTTTTTATTTTAGAAAGCTGCTGGTAGAAGAATGCCAGGAAAAGAAAAAAAAACTTACCCTTGCAGTGGGACTACCCCAGCACTGCAATGATTAAGTGCTTGTTTTTTTCTAGGAGGTGCAACTAAAGCTGTTTTACTCACCTGATCCTCACTTCTGCATCGGTCGTCATTTAACTCTCTCCCCCTCCTTTTCTGGCTATGGATTGTTCCTCGGCGTCAAGTCTAATGCAAGTCAATGGACCTGCAAAAGGCATGATGATGCCAGTGGTCCTTAGAATGCCAGAGCCGAGGGGAGAAGAGACTGCGGGGACCGGTCTAGCAGCCCACAGGGAGCTGGCGGGGGACGAGAATCGGGTAAGTAAATCTGCTTCATTTGAGCCTCGAGACCAGAGGTAGGCAAACTGCTTCTAGCTATAGTAAAACTACAAATCCCACCATTCATCTGTCTCTGGGAGTCAAATCTGTGGCTGTGAGAATCTTGAAATGCTTCATGGGTAGTTGCACAACAGCTTAAGGGCTGAAATTTTGTATTTTCCCGAAAATTTTTTTTTTTTTTTTTTTTTTTTTTTTACCTTTTTAAGGGGTTTTTAAGTCAAAAAAAGA